CCCAACGGCACCCCGCAGTGCCTGGTCTGGTCGTCCCTGGGCCTGGGGACCCGGCTGGCTCTGCGCGGCAGGCGCCCCAGGTGAGCGGAGGTCGGGAGGCAGCCGGGCCTCAGCCCCTCTAGGCCCTGGACTGCGGCAGCCGCCCTGGGTCTGCTGGGGACCTGGACGGGGAGAAACCGAGGCCCGCGCGAACACACACGCACACAAAACTTGTGCTTTCGGACCGTTTACCCCTTCACAAATTTTATCATCCAGGATGGTTGATAAAGGGTGGCAGTCCAGATCTCTGTCTACTTCTGCCTGGACAAAGGAAGTCCTCAGTCCTTTGTAGCCGGCACAAAGTTAAAGACTCACTTCCCTCATGCCCTGTGGCCTCTTCTTGCTGCTCAGTCTGCTCTGAGCCCCGGAAAGCTGAGGCTTCCCCGCAGAGGGGCGACAGGTGGGCCGACCCGAGGGGAAAGGAGCAGGTGTCGGTTCTCTCTCCTCTCCCCGGCGTGCAAGTAATTAGGGGAACGGCCCATCTTGGGGACTTGGAGGAGGACATTAAATTATCCCATCATACAAACCTCCCGTGGAGGGCCGCCCCATCCCATTAATTCAATCATATAGGTAGGCAAGATGGATTACTTTGTCTTTAAAACAATCGAAAGCCAAACGCTCTTTTCGTTTGTTGTAGGAATTATTTTTCTGCTAAGGAGGTAGCTAAATTGGAGAGGCTGCATTAACAAAACCTCTGCTCGAAAACCCCCCAACTAAGAGAGGAGGAAGTCTATCTGCCAGAGTCGCGGTCACCCAGACGTTCGGTCCCCGCCTCGCCTCCGTCCGCTGAAAAGTCACACGGATGACAAACGCTACCTGCCAGCCTGGTTTGATAACGAATAACGGGTACTGACGCGATGATATTCTCCCCTACCCCTGGGCTTCTGGTCTAAACACACGAGGCCAGATGGAGAACTAAACAGTTATCTAAATAGTGCAAAGGCACCCCCCAAACGGACTTGGCTCCAGCTGTTTGTGATGGCAGCCTAGTGGGGAGTTCCGCTGTCGCATTGTGGGATAATTGCCTTAATCTTCCACTTCTCCCCACGTCGCAGGGGAGGACAGTAGAACCACGGGGGACAAACGGAGCCCCCCAGGAATCACTGCTCCGTGCTGAGTAGAAGACGCCCCTTCCCTCATCGTCTAAGCCTGGCTTTCCTGTGTCCCGAAGCTCCTGGGCCAGGCAGGGGGCCCCCCCGGAGCCGCACGCGACGTCCTGGCCCCAGGAGGTCGAGGGTCAGGTCAGCTTCCAGCGCTGAACCCAGCGCTCAGGGCGTGGAGAAGCCAGAAAAGGGGGTGGGGGTCTGGGCACATCCCAGGAGCGATTCCTGGGCTGAGGGGGACGCTGGAAGGTGTCTGAGGGGTCTCTGGCAGGGAGGACGATCTCACCCTTCTGGAGGGATTTTCTGGACTCGGGGCTCCTACCCCAAACCCCACTTTACTTGAAGGAAAAAAAAAAGGAGCTTCTTGTGGCTCCTGGTGACCCGCCTTAGGGCACCATCCCTTCCCCCACCCCCCACACACATTCCTGCGGTGTCACCGCGTCCCCAATCCCGGTATTTCTTGGCGTGCTCGCCACCTCCCCCTTCCTGGCGCTTTTGTGCCGTAGGGCCCCGGGGAGGCCTCGTTTTAAACGTCTCTGTGACGTCAGGCCCCCTCCTCACAGCTGGGAACCCTTCGGTGGGCCTGGGAATCGTTAGCCCGCCTGGTGGGTCGGGAGGGGATGAGGGGCGGGGTGCCGGCCCCGCGACGGCTCCACCAAACGCCCATTGCTGCTGTGGCCCGCAGGGCCTTCAGGCTGCAAGCAGTAGAGGTGTCAGAGGAGAAGCCGAAGGGTTCCTGCGAGGGCGTTTCTGCCAATCGAGTCAAGAGTTGTGGCGGAGACGGTTCAGCGAGTGCTCCGCGGAGCAGCAGAAAAGGGGCATCACAAACTGCAACCTGGAAATGAAAACTTTAACTTGTTCCCCAAAAGACTTCGTGTCTGCGTCTTCATGTTCAAGTAACACCACTAACAACAGTTATAAAATAAGTGAAATGCTTGAAATACAATCGATCGTTTGCTGGAGCTTTCCTTCTGAGTAAGCTTATAAAACACAATCGCAAATATCTTTTCCTGGCGAATATCCATAGCTAAACCAGTGGAAAGTTGATCTTTGTACAACTGCAGCCCTCCATCCCGCCCCCCGCATGCCAGATACTGATTTCACAGCAGCAACTTTTATACCCAAAGTGGGGAGCTGAGAGCACTGTCGGATTTTCAATGTACATAGCAAGCTGGGCTGGTGGAGGGAGGAGGTGAGGGGAGGCCGGGAGGCGAGGGCTGGGGTGTCGGAGTTACAGCGGGCCACCACTGTGCATTGCAAAGCCCGGGCCGCCGGCGGTTCCGGATTCGGAAAACGAGTCGCTGATCGCTGCGTCCATCTCCCGGCACCGCCAGCAGCGCAACAGCAGTTTAAAGAGCGAATTCACCAAACGCTGAGGTGTTGAGAAAGACAACTTAATTGTCTTCCAGGCCGAAGCCAAAGTGCCGCTTAAAGCCTCGAACCGGGGACTGCTAAGCCCGTCGGTGTGCAGGGCTGGGGGTTGGAGACAAACTCATTTTAAAGTCGTGGCGCTTCACTCCCACCCCCACCGCTACCCCGCCCAGTGTTTTGGGGAACCAAGTTCTAAGCTTCCTGCTGACAAATCCGGTGTTTCTCCCAGCTCACCAGGGACTTGGCCCTGCCAACAACCTGGAAAAGGATCTCAAAAGCCCCTTGCGCACAGCAGGCCAGGAGGCAACTGCCTCGGTATTCGGAACTTCCGGCACCCCTCCCTCAAAAGCCTAATTCTAGAAGTAGCAGGTCCTCCTTTTCTCAATGTAAATGTTCATTCTGAAATACAACAATTTTGCAAAAATGTTCAAGTGGCACGGAGCTGTGCCTGCCACAGAAGTCGGCGTCCTTGACATGCAACAACCAAAGCTGCGATTTGAATTTTCCTGCAGAAGTGAGGAAGCCACTGTTAGAGCCAGGCAGCCGAAAGGGGCTCCCACACGTTTCAGAGTTAACAGATTGCCACAAATCTGAGGAGCCTAGGTGTTAAAGGCGTCACCCCACTTCTTCACAGCCTCCCAAACTCTCCGCTTCCCCTGGGGTCTAGTAAATGACCTGGGCTTTAGTCTCCCCAGGACTCTCGAGTCGCCGAAGTGCAGAGTCGCGCTGCAGCAGGAGGGAGGCCCGTCCTTTCCCCGCTTGTTCATTTCTTTCCCTCTCATTTGTCCTCTTCCTATCCCACGCCAGTCACCAGGCCTGCAAATCTCATGCCTGTGCGCGAGGCGTGAGGTCCTTCTGCGCTTATCCTCCCAGAATCCTTGGGCCGGCCTGCAGGTGCGATCCCGAACCTTCCCCCAGCACACCCGTTATCTACGCCGGTCGAGAGCCCCGCGCGTGTGGAGATGCAGATTAGCCTGGGGAAGCGTTAAGCTCTTGGACGTGTTTATTTGTTTCTTGTCATCACACCTGCTAATGTCACAGAGCCCGCAGCCTGACCCCTCCTCTGAGCCGAAACGCGTCGGGCCGGACAGGAGGGGGCTGCACGCGGCGAGCCGATGGTGCCCCTCGCGGGCGAGCAAGGGAAGCCGCCCGGCTCCCGCAGCCCGCGTCGCCCGCACCCTCGGGCCGCCAAGGACCCTGGGGTCGAGGAGCGAGACGGCCCGTAGCGGGGCGGGGGTCGAGGCGCAGGCCACGCGGGCGAACGGCGGTGGGACGCCCCCCCAGGGCCCGTATCCCCCTCCCTTGTTTCGGCTGGGGAGGGGTCACGGAGCGGGCGAGGTGGGGCAACGCCTTCTTCCCCACCAGGAGCAGCGAGCGGTGTAACCGAGCCCTGCAAATCGTGCCCTTTGTAACTGAGTTCAGGGCGGGAGAGCCTCCAGGTGGGGAAACACCGGAGCCATCTGTGAACCCGGCTGGCGACGGGAGGAGAGGGAAGGGGAGGCGAGAGGACGGTGGAGCGAGAAGAACGGCGAGGGCACGGGGGGATGGGGGCAGAGGCCCGAGGAGCCCAGCGCTGGATCGGCGGGTCGGCGCGAGAACGGGGAGCCAGCGCGAGGCAGGGCCGGAGGACTCGGGGGACATCCTGGAGCGGTGGCCGGAGGGAGGGTCTGCGCGGGGCCCAGGGGGACCCGGGACGTCCGCGCAGCGCTGCGGGTGGAGGGAGGGAGCGTGCGGGGGTCGGACCGCGTGCGGGCGCGGGCCCGGGCGGCCGGCGCGCGTGTGGTCAGCGCCGCGTTCCTCCGGCCTCCGCGCGCGGGCCGGCCGGGCTCGGCCTCCGGCGCGTTCGGAGGCGGTTCTCGCCTGCCATTGGCTGCCGCCGCCGTGGCGGGGCGGGGCTCCGCTGCCCGGAAAAAATGTAACTGCGTAAAAAAGTCCTCGCCTGGGTGACGGATGCTTAAAAGTTCAGGAGTTTTCCCCATGCTTCCTTAAGCGGCCGGCGCGCGAGAGACTGAAAAAAGGTGACGCGGGGCCCGGGAAGGCGGCCGGCGCGCTGCCCCCACCCCGCCCTGCTACTTGGCCGCCTTCGCCGGCAGCTCGGGACAGTCTCCTGGAAGGCGCAGGCGGGGTGGCGAGAAGGGCGCCTTCGTGTTCTGCGTTTCTGGCTGCTTTTTCCCGTCTGCGCCTGGAAGTGGCTCTGCGAGTTCCTGCAAGGCGGTCCGCCGCGTCCGGCCCTCTCGCCTCGCAGCGACCCGCGCTCGCGCCCGCCGCGGGCCCCGAGGCAGCCGGAGGCGCGGAGCAGCCGGCGCCGGCGCTGGGACAGGCCGCGCGCGGCCGGCGGCGGCGGGGGAGGCGGCGGCCAGGCGGGGCGCGGCGCGGCGGGCCGGCACCAGCTCGGCGGGGCCCGGACTCGGACTCGGACTCGGCGGCCGGCGCGGCGCGGCCCGGCCGGAGCGAGGGTGGGGGGCGGCGGGGCGGCGAGCGGGGGCCATGCAGGCGCGCTACTCCGTGTCCAGCCCCAACTCCCTGGGAGTGGTGCCGTACCTCGGCGGCGAGCAGAGCTACTACCGCGCGGCCGCGGCGGCGGCCGGGGGCGGCTACACCGCCATGCCGGCCCCCATGAGCGTGTACTCCCACCCCGCGCACGCCGAGCAGTACCCGGGCGGCATGGCCCGCGCCTACGGGCCCTACACGCCGCAGCCGCAGCCCAAGGACATGGTGAAGCCGCCCTACAGCTACATCGCGCTCATCACCATGGCCATCCAGAACGCCCCGGACAAGAAGATCACCCTGAACGGCATCTACCAGTTCATCATGGACCGCTTCCCCTTCTACCGGGACAATAAGCAGGGCTGGCAGAACAGCATCCGCCACAACCTCTCGCTCAACGAGTGCTTCGTCAAGGTGCCCCGCGACGACAAGAAGCCGGGCAAGGGCAGCTACTGGACGCTGGACCCGGACTCCTACAACATGTTCGAGAACGGCAGCTTCCTGCGGCGCCGGCGGCGCTTCAAGAAGAAGGACGCGGTGAAGGACAAGGAGGAGAAGGACCGGCTGCACCTCAAGGAGCCGCCGCCGCCCGGCCGCCAGCCCCCGCCCGCGCCGCCCGAGCAGGCCGACGGGGCCGTGCCGGGACCGCAGCCGCCGCCCGTGCGCATCCAGGACATCAAGACCGAGAACGGTACGTGCCCCTCGCCGCCCCAGCCCCTGTCCCCCGCCGCCGCCCTGGGCAGCGGCAGCGCGGCCGCGGTGCCCAAAATCGAAAGCCCCGACAGCAGCAGCAGCAGCCTGTCGAGCGGGAGCAGCCCCCCGGGCAGCCTGCCGTCGGCGCGGCCGCTGAGCCTGGACGGTGCGGAGCCCGCGCCGCCGCCGCCTCCCGCGCCCTCCGCGCCGCCGCCGCCGCCGCCGCACCACAGCCAGGGCTTCAGCGTGGACAACATAATGACGTCGCTGCGGGGGTCGCCGCAGGGCGCGGCCGCGGAGCTGGGCTCCGGCCTTCTGGCCTCCGCGGCCGCCGCGTCCTCGCGCGCGGGCATCGCGCCCCCACTGGCGCTCGGCGCCTACTCGCCGGGCCAGAGCTCCCTCTACAGCTCCCCCTGCAGCCAGGGCTCCGGCGCGGGCGGCGCGGGGACCTACCACTGCAACCTGCAGGCCATGAGCCTGTACGCGGCCGGCGAGCGCGGCGGCCACTTGCAGGGCGCGCCCGGGGGCTCGGGCGGCTCGGCGGTGGACGACGCCCTGCCCGACTACTCGCTGCCTCCGGTCACCAGCAGCAGCTCGTCCTCCCTGAGTCACGGCGGCGGCGGCGGCCAGGAGGCCGGCCACCACCCCGCGGCCCACCAAGGCCGTCTCGCCTCGTGGTACCTGAACCAGGCGGGCGGAGACCTGGGCCACTTGGCGAGCGCGGCGGCGGCGGCCGCGGGCTACCCGAGCCAGCAGCAGAACTTCCACTCGGTGCGGGAGATGTTCGAGTCGCAGAGGATCGGCCTGAACAACTCCCCGGTGAACGGGAGCAGCAGCTGTCAGATGGCCTTCCCTTCCAGCCAGTCTCTGTACCGCACGTCCGGAGCCTTCGTCTACGACTGTAGCAAGTTTTGACGCCGCCCCCTGCCCCGGCACGCACACCCTCGAAGCCGGACTGAATCGAACCCCAAAGCAAGAACGGCCGAAGGACCCCGCCAGTGCAAAATCGAAACTAAGAAGATCCAACTTAAAAAGCTGGAGAACATTCACCGCACCAGCGAACGGAATCCTCCGGAAATTCAGCTCACCAGCACAAAGGAAACTCTATTTTCTTAAAAGATTAATTCGGAGCCACCTCCACTTTGCCTTATCTAAATAAACAAAACCGTAAACTATTTTGTACAGAGACACCAAAGTCATGGTTTGTTAAAGGACAGTGTTACTCCAGATAACACGTAAGTTTCTTCTTGCTTTTCAGAGACCCACTTTCCTCCTCTCCTCTCACTGCCCTGCCGTCTTCCTTGCCTCTCACCTGTAAGATATTATTTTATCCTATGTTGAAAGGAGGGGGGAGTCCCCTTATATGACAATCGCATTCTTTTTATTCATGGACTTGTTTTAAAATGTAAATTGCAACATAGTAATTTATTTTTAATTTGTAGTTGGATGTCGTGGACCAAACGCCAGAAAGTGTTTCCAAAACCTGACGTTAAATTGCCTGAAACTTTAAATTGTGCTTCTCTCTCATTATAAAAAGGGAAACTGTATTAATCTTATTCTATCGTCTTTTCTTTCTTTTTGTTGAACATATTCATTGTTTGTTTATTAATAAATCACCATTCAGTTTGAATGAGACCTATATGTCTGGATACTTTAATGTAGCCTTAATTATTATTGAAAAATATTTCAGAGATAAAACACTAGAAGTTAACCTATTCTCCACCTAAATCTCTGAAAAATAGAGAAACCCTCTGACTAGTCCATGTCAAATTTCACGAAAAGTCTTTTTGTTTAGATTTCTTTTCCTCTAGCATCTTCTGCAAAATGTACTATTATCGTCAGCTTGCTTTGTGGCTAGTAAAAAGATATTTTCCTAAACCTATCTGAGTTGGCATATAAAGAAATAACGTTTTCTCAGTCATGACAGAATATGATTTGGAAATCTTAAGCCCATGAATCAGCAGCGGTCTCTCCACAGTGGTACCTGTGTGCAGAGAGGTGAGAATGTGCCTTCAGAAATGCACAGATCAGTGTGTGGCTCGTGTGTCCCGTCCAAAATTGCCATGCGTGTTATACATCCCTGTGAGCCAGATGCTGAATGAATTTTTTTCCTATTAATTTCAGTCCTTTGTAAGAGGAAAAATAAACCAGTTTTTAAATGTATGTATATATCTCATCCACATTTACAGTCCTTCATGTATTGCATAGAAGGAATGATTTTTTAGGAAATATATTGCGGGTTGGAAAGGGATATTTAATCTTTGGGAAACTATTTTAGAAGCTATGTTTGTAGAACAATTATTTTTGGAAAAGATTTAAAGCAATAATAAGGAAGGAAGGAGAGAAGAGCAGAACATTTTAGTCTAGGGTGGTTTCTTTTTAAACCAATTTTTCTTGTTAATTTACAGTTAAACCTAGGGGGCAATCCGGATTGGCCCTCCCCCCTTTGTAAATAACCCAGGAAATGTAATAAATTCATTATCTTAGGGTGATCTGCCCTGTCAATCAGACTTTGAGGAGATGGCGATTTGATTACAGACGTTCAGGGCTTTTCAGTTTGTTTGCGAGATAATACAGTTTCCTGCTATCTGCCGCTCCTATCTAGAGGCAACACTTAAGCAGTAATTGCTGTTGCTTGTGTCAAAATTTGATCATTGTTAAAGGATTGCTGCAAATAAATACACTCTAATTTCAGTCAAAAACTGCTCTACGTGGCCTCTGATTCGCTCGGTCCCCTCCCCCAGAGTCGTAACCTAATAGCCAGGGAAGATCTCGGCGACGCTGGCGGGTGTCTGCTCGGGCCAGGCCGGCTGGGGCTGGCCTCGCCGCCGGGTTGAATCTTGCTGGCTGTCGCAGCCCTGGGTCCTGGGGCTGCCTCCAGCTTCCTGGGGTTACCTCTTTGGGGATGGCGGGTGGGGCGGTGTGGGGGCGAAGGCAAAGAATCCGTCCACACAGCCGGTGGAATTAGTGCATTGCTCCACTTTCGAGAGCCGAGCCTGCAGCTGTGATTTGCGAATCGGGTCCGGTGGCTGCAGCCCGGCCGTCTGGGCCCGGGAGGGGAGCTGCAGCAGGTGGCCCGAGGCCACGTCGCGCGGACGGGACGACCCCCCCCGAGGCCGGGCAGCCGGAGCCGGTACTGCTCTCTGCTTGTCTGGTTCGACTCTCTGGAGTAGGGGGTGTCGAGTCGAGACCCGTGGCCCCCACGGCTGCCCAGCTGCGGCGATTCTCCGGGACCCGGGCCTCCCGGCCCCGCGCTCTCCGGCTAATTAGCTGTAATTGCCCGCCGCGGCCGGGCCCGCTTCTGTTTGCGTTTGGGGCTCCTTCCTCCCCCCTGGCCCGCCGCCTCCCCGCCGCCTCCCGAAATGGGTGGCTGGGGGAGACAGAGTCGCGCAGACCGCAGCTAGGTCCGACGGTCCCGCGCAGGGCGGGGCGGGTCCGGGAAGACCGCGCCGAGGGACGGTGGCGAGGGCAGGGCGCGCGCGCGCAGGGGACGGGGGCGCCGCGCCGGGAGAAGCGCCTTCGGGGCTCTGGCCGCGACGCCCAGGCGGAGCCGAGGGGCGCCCGCCGCTTCCCCCCTCACCCCGCGGCTCCGCCGGGCGCGGCCGGCCCCACCGCGCTCGCATTTCCTCCTCGCTCGGCGTCCTTGTTTTGGAGACGCACGTGTGTTTCGGAGCCCAGCCGGGGTGGAAAGGTCAGAGGCACTCCATTGCTCACGGTGACAGCTCGCCCCGCAGCCTCAAGGCGCGGGGCCCAGAGCCCCGCGTTTGCAGGACCCCCCTGCCTGCGCCGGCCCCCGCCCACCAGCCTCGGCTGGGCCCGGCCGGACCTGCCCAGGCCAGCACGGGGCAGCGGCCTTCCTGGCAGGGCTGTGTCCCCGCGCAGTGTGTGAAGTCGGTTTGCAGAGGCCACCAACCACCGGGCAGTAGCCGTGCGGGAGTCGCTCGACCTAATGGACCGGGGAGGCCTTCGGGCGTGCGTCGGGCTTGGTGTGTTTGGGGTCCGCGTGCCCACGGCCCTCCGCGTCTCCTCGGGCCTTGGCTTTGCAGCCCTGAGGACGTCGCGTGGCCTAGGCCCAGCCCAGGCCTAAGAGCTCGGCGGCTTTGTGCTCAGCTGCTCCTCTCTGAGGAGTGGGCTGCGGGACCCGCCCCAGTGGGGCTGGCTCGGCCCGCACCCAGGGGAGCGCACGCGGCCTGCGCCCCAGCAGCTGTCGGGGTGAGCTTGGCGAGGGGAAGAACCGGCTCACTCCCGGCTGGATGCGGAGTGGGCTGCATGCCGGCCTTTCCTTTCCTTGCTGGGCCCCACGTCCCCGAGGCTGGAGAAGCCAGCGGTGTGAATGCGGCTTGTGCAGCCGCAAGGAGCCCAAGAGCTTGCCGGAGGGAAGCTGCTTAGCAACTACTCTCACCCTCTTTGATTCGAATGTTTGACAATTAGGCATGGAAGATGTATGTGTCCAAGAAGGTGCTTGTGTTATACGTATCTAGAGAAAGTAGTTGTTTCTGCACGAGTTGCCTGCATGATAGTTCAGAAGCTGTATTTGAGTGGAAGGAGAGAATCACTATTCCAATTTATAAAACTACATCTACGTGATGTCTTCCACTATCGTTACATTAGCTTTTGGATTCTCATCCGATTTAAGAAAACCAACTTCTTGCCTACTTTATTTAACCTGGAACTACTTATTCCTTAGAGGTTTGCATGTTTGATTTGTCCTTTTTTTTCTTTTTTTTGAGAAATAAGGATAATTTTTCTGTGAAATATTCTGAGAAAAACTCCTTGATATTTTAACCAATAGCTGGTACATTTTGAAATGAGCTCGTGACAGCAGTCCAGACCCAGGGTGGGGAATCAGCTAATTGTGAAAATAGCCTCTGTAGAAAGATTTAGGATAGTAAGTATTTTGTCCTTTATGTAGAAGTAGGAGCATTTATTTTCTTTGCAATTTATACCATGAACACGTAAGTGCCAGCATGTTACATGCCGTACAAAATCTTGCATTTGGCATATTGCACGTGTGCTAGGAACGCGTGCTGTTTTTCAGAGTTATGTAGTTAGCAGGCCTTTTAGACCAGACTGCATGCAAACAAGCATGCATTTTACAATTTATTATTCCACGCAGTTTGTGTCATTAATAATCAATGTTTGCAGAGGAATAAGGCTGGATTGTACTGGTGGCTTGTAAGCTCTTGGCTGTTTCCTGCAGGGTCAGAAAAAAGGGTCAGGAAACAAGAGTGCCTTATAGCCCTTTTGGGCTCCCCCTCACTTTGATAGGTGAGGAAGGGACATAGGACCTTTTCTCTCCCACCCAGTTCACTTGGGGCGGGGGTTTCAGTGTTTAAGGTGGAGTGCCATCGTTTTGTTCTTAATGGGGTAAAATCCGAGAGTCCCTGAACCCCCTGCTCGTTCATGCTGCCTGGCTGGACTGCCCAGGAGGGACAGGAGGCACCCATCCTCCATCAGGCCTCAGGCACCTACTCCAGGGCTCTCAGAAGCTAGTAGTGGCACCTGAAGCAAGGCCAGCTGGAGTGACAGTTTCTCTCTATCTCCACCCCACATCTTGGCGCTCTAGGAGAGGGGCCCCGTTTGCTTCTGAGCCCAGCTGAGTCCCCTGCCACTGGGTCCTGCCTGCTGTTGCAAGGCCTTCTCTATTTCCCTCCACTCATTTCACGGCTGGTTCATGAAGCCATTAGCCCTTCCCACCGATATAAACAAATGTCGTGTTAGGGGCAAGATTGATGGTGGCCAAGTAATAAAGCTGGCTAGGCAGGACAGAATATGATTCTGTGTGGGCAGCCATTCTTCAGCCAAGCAGAGGGACTGGGGTGTGGGGAGAAAAGGGTCCAGGAGACTATGTCAGAGTCATCACCCCACTAAGGTGGGGGGCCGAGCTCAGGAGAGCTCCCAGCAAGGGAAGTCTA